CACGCGCGGCGCACACGTCTCGCAGTACAGCGCGTGGCCACACGCAAAGCGGACCGATCGAGGGGCGTCCCAGCAGAGGTCACACAGGCGCTCCTCGGCCCCAGCCGTCTCCTCCACCTCCCCCGCCGCCTCGACTAGCGCCTCCAGCCGCGGCAGCGCCTCTGCGAGCGGCATCCGCCTCTTCTTCCTCACGAGAGCCAGCCCAACCACCAGCCGCGCCAGCTCCTCGGCCTGCGCCGCTGACCAGCCCGCGTCGGCCGCCGCGATGCTCTCCGCCGTGTCGGGCTCCTCCAGCGCGTCGTCGCACGCGTTGAGCAAGCCGACGGCGCCGCGGCCGGTCAGGGCGACGAGAAGCGTGATGCCGAGCGCAAAGCCATCAGTGAGCTGCGAAGCCTGGTTGTCCAGCGAGATGATCGGGTCCATGTAGCCGGGCTTTCCAAAGATACGCTGCGTCGACAAGTGCGAGACCTGCTGGCTGCCGCCGGCCGTCGCCTCTGCCGCGCGCGCGAGGCCCACGTCGGCGAGGTAGCCGTTGCCGCGCTCGTCGAGCAGGATGTTGCCCGCCGAGACGTCGCGGTGCAGGATCATCGGAGAGAGCGTGTGCAGGTAGTGCAGCGCGCTCGCTGCGTCGCGCAGCACGCGGAGCCGTGCAGCGGAGGAGAGCGGCGGAGGCGGCGACTCGAAGCCGAGCATGCGGAGCCGCTGCAGTGCGGCTGGCGAGCGGTAGAGGCGGTCCTCGGCATCGATCTCGGCGTGGCCCTTCTCCTTGGCCAGCTGCAGCGCCGTCTTGCCGCTCGCACTGCGCGCCGTCGCATCTGCGCCAGCCCGCAGCAAGCGCCGCACGACGGCGAGTTGGTTGAAGACGGCGGCGTACATCAGCGCGGTGCCGCGTTTGCTGGTCTGCAGGTTGATCTCCGCGCCGTGCCGCAGCAGCAGCTCGACCACCCGCTCGTGGCCGCAGTTGGCGGCGGCCATCAGCGCGGTGATGCCGAGGCTGTCCTGCTTGTTGATCTCCGCGCCGTGCTGCAGCAGCAGCTCGACCACCCGCTCGTGGCCGTGCTCGGCGGCGCCCATCAGCAGCGTGATGCCGCTCACGATGCCTCTCTCGTACGTCGCGTCGACCCGCCCGCCTTCCTCAAGCCACGCCAGCACCGCCTCCTCGTCGCCTCGCCCAGCCGCTGCCACGACCGCATCGGAGACTGCCACGCCACCGCTCGGCGCCGCCGCCGCCGGCGACAGATTACCCGGCCGCACCCGCACGCTCTCGCCGCCGCCCTCGAGCGCCACCGCGTACCGCCCGCCCTCGAAGCTCCCCGCCACGCCCCGCTGCCCGTTCAGCTCGGGGCGGGAAGAGAGCCCGCCGAGCTCGACTCGCTGGCCGAGCAGCGGCGCGTCCACAGCTGCCGCTGCCGCGCCCGAGGAAGCTCCGCCCGGCCCCGCCCGGCCGTCTGCAGCCGCCGCCGCCTCAGCCAAGACCTTGACGCACTCGGCGTGGCCCTTCTCCTTGGCCAGCTGCAGCGCCGTCTTGCCGCTCGTGGCTCGCACCGCCCAATCCGCGCCCGCCCGCAGCAAGCGCCGCACGACGGCGGGATGGTTCAAGAGGGCGGCGTACATCAGCGCGGTGTGGCCGCCGCTGTCCCGCAAGTTGACCTCAGCGCGCTGTAGCAACTCGACCACCCGCTCGTGGCCGAATCCGGCGGCAGCCATCAGCGCGGTGTAGCCGCCACTGTCCTGCAGGTTGACCTCAGCGCCGTGCCGAATCAGCAATTCGACCACCCGCTCGTGGCCGTGGCGGGCGGCGTACATCAGCGCGGTGCCGCCGACGCTGTCCTGCAGGTTGATCTTCGCCCCGCGCCGCAGCAGCAGCTCAATCACCCGCTCGTGGCCTTGGTTGGCGGCGCCCATCATCAGCGTGATGCCGCTAATCTTGCCTCTCTCGTACGTCGCGTCGGCCCGCCCGCCGCCCTCAAGCCACGCCAACACTGCCTCCTCCTCGCCTCGCTCCGCCGCTAGCACGGCCGCGTCGAAGCGGCTCTGGGAATCTGCACTCACCATCGTCTCGGTGCCCAGCGAATTCTTTTTCCCGGTCGCCAATTCTTTTTCTCCCTTCACAGCCGGCTCGAGGGCGCTTGCGCCGGCCGCCGCGGCCGCCACCCATGACCAAGGAGAAGCTCCGCGCCAACCTGCGTGGCCTCAAGGCCAGGGTCATCGACACGTCGGCGCTCATCGCGCGCCACGTCGAGCTCAAGGCGCAGCTTGAGGCGGCAGTCGCCGAGCGGCGCCGCATGGGCGAGGAGAAGGCGGCGGCGGAGAGCACGGCGGCGCTGCGCTCGGCGGCGGAGGCCGCGGTCAAGCAGCAGCTCGAGGCGGCGCGCGGCGAGGTCCAGCAGCCCCCTTTGGTACCCTTTAGTGGGGTAGGAAGCGTCGGGATGTAAGCGGGGCGGGTTTGTGTGTGTGTGTGTGTGTGTGTGTGTGTGTGTGTGTGTGTGTGGTGTGGTGTGGGCGCGAGAATAGCTCCGCCGTTCATGGAGGCAACCGATACGAGTCGACTGGTGTGTGTCGTCGGTGGTTTTTCGTATCAAGAATACTCACTCACTCACACGGCGGGTTTGCTGCTGCGGGGTCCCCCGCTGTCGCCCGGGGTCATGCGAGGGGTGGGCACGACCAGTAGGGACCCCCCCCGGGCCCCGCTCTCTACAGTTGGGGCCTCCGCGGCCGAGTGGGAGATATTGGATGGGAAACGGGTCGATTTGCAAAGTGGGGCGCCGGGCCCGGCCGGGCCCGATCGCGGTCTCAGCCCTACCTGGCCATTCTAGATTATAGAATGGCATCCTTACATCTAGAATGGCGTCTCGCGCGCGCTCACCCGGCCGCCTCGCAGCCCCAGCGGCCGGGGGGCGCTTGCCGGGGTTGGGGCTGGTCACACACAGGCGCCACTTTAACGCGGCGAGCCAGAGGAGTCACACAGGAGAGCCCCCAACATGCCACATTTTCAGCAGCAGACGGGCCGCGGTGAGGGCCCATTCTGTATCGAAGAATGGGGTCCGCCGCCGTCCCCCACGGCCTTCTCACGCCCCCAGCGGCGGCGTGCCGCTCGGCCAGACTGGTGGGGTTCGCGCACAAGCCCCAGTTCAACACAGGGAGCCCAACAGTCCGCAAATGAGAGTCCTCCCCCCGCCCCCAAACTAGAGCAGACGCCGGGGGGTGCGCCACGTATGGCAAAAGCAAACGCACGATGGCCGCCGGCGGCCGTTGAGCGCTGCCGCCGTTCGAGCCTTGGATGTCAGTCCGTCGCCGCCTGTGGCGAGGGCAGTGGAGGTGTGAGATTTGTGCTCGCAAGTGGTGGGCGGGCGAAAGGGTCGGGCGGCGAAAGAGAGCAGACAGCAGACAGCGCGAAATGCGGACTACTCGTGTCACATCTACTCCTCGTGTCACCTAGTCATGGTCGTCGCTTCCCTGGCCGGTCTCCGAGTCCTGCTCCTCGCCCGAGTCCTCGTCCAAGTTCGAGTAGTCTTCCTCCTCTTCGTCCTCTTCGTCGATCTCGTCGAGCCGGCTCCTGGCCCGACGCCCGTGACGCTGGGGCCGACTTGCTACGCGCGCTGCGACCCGGACCGCCACCTCTGCTGCCGCCTGTGCTACCCGTAGTCCTTGCCGGCGAGCGAGTGCCTTTTGCGGGGCTGTCGCCAGAGCGGGTGTCGCCACGGCCGTCTTCTGATCTGTTTTGTGGTCTGCGGACTGCGCGCTGCGCTGCGCTGCGCGTCTCGAGGCGCGCCGCAACACAGCCCGTGTAAATGGGGTAATGGATAAACCAAGCATCCCCGATGGCCGGGGGGATGTCCCATGGCCCCGGGGTGGCCGTGGGCACGCAGGGGGCACCGCTACGGGCCGCTGCGGCGCCCATTCTACTTCGAAGAATGCCATTCTTGAAACTAGAATCTAGGTCTGAGACCGTCCGTGCCGGGCCCGGCTCGGGCCCGTGCCGGGCCCGGCCCGCGCGCTTTGCCGGGCCCGGCTTTGCCACTCCCGGGCCGAAGCGCCCAAATCAGCAGGTCGAGGAGCGAGGCGGGCCCGGCGAGGAGAAAACGGGCCCGGCAAACCGTCTGTCCTGCCCGGGCCCGTCTGCGGCACATCGACCGGCCCGCTCACTCACAGCCGGGCCCGGGCAGGAGGGTTTGCCGGGCCCGTTTTGCGCGAGGCGGGGCCGGGCGAGGAGAAAACCGGCCCGGCTAAAGCACGCTCGGCGGCCCGGGAGCGGCCACTTTTGACCCGCCCGGGCCCGCCCCACTTACGTCCGGGGCCCCAGTTAGCTCTGCAGACAGCCAGACAGCTCCGCGAGGTCGGACCGACTTTTTCAGACTACTATTCTGGTACCAAGGATATGTGCTGCTAGATCTCACTGAGCTGAGCTCATATCTGCCTTTGGTAAGCAGTTTTGAGTTCGGGCATGTCTCCGGTAAGCTGTTTCCGTGTACGGAGGGCCGCGCGTCCGGACGCGCATGACGTCGGCCGGGACCCCCCGTGCGGGGGCCTTCTCTCGGACTCAGGGAAACTCGAGAGTTGCCAGAATGGAGCACCAAACACCCTCTGGTTTCCCTGGAAATTTCCGGAAACGAAAAGTGCTGGGGGACCCTCTCGCACTTGGAGCCCTCTCGTTTCCTTTTTGGTTTCCGGAAACATGGGTACAGGCCAAGGAGGAGGAGGACGACGATGGCGACATCGACATGCTCGCCGAGACGGGCGGCGGCGGCGGCGCGGCGGGCACGTCGGGGCTGCTCGCCTCGAGCCTTTGGCCTGGAGGCCGTCTCTAGCTATGTATGTATGTATGTATGTAGGAAGGTGAAGAACAGCCAGGCTCGGACTGGACACCAATGCGGTATGGGTGGAAGCTGGACAGATGATGACGGCTGTGAATAGCAAATTCGATTTTTTTTCTCAACACCCGGCTCGCGGCGGCCTCGGGCCGGCTTTGCCCGTGCTGCCGGCCGCCGCGGCCGCCACCCATGACCAAGGAGAAGCTCCGCGCCAACCTGCGTGGCCTCAAGGCCAGGGTCATCGACACGTCGGCGCTCATCGCGCGCCACGTCGAGCTCAAGGCGCAGCTTGAGGCGGCAGTCGCCGAGCGGCGCCGCATGGGCGAGGAGAAGGCGGCGGCGGAGAGCACGGCGGCGCTGCGCTCGGCGGCGGAGGCCGCGGTCAAGCAGCAGCTCGAGGCGGCGCGCGGCGAGGTGCAGCAGCACAAGACGGAGAGCGCGCGGCTGCGCACGCGCCTCTCCGACCTCGAGGCGGTGCTGCTGAGCGAGCGCTCGGCGGCGTCGAGCGCGTCGCAGGCGGCGGTGAAGGTCTCGCTGGCGGAGCAGGGCGCCACGACGCGCGAGGCCGCCGTGCTCGAGAGGGCGCGAGAGCCGAGGCGGCCAGGACGCGCAGCGCGCTCGGACGGACGTTCTCGGACCCTTCTTCTAGGAGCGGGAGCTCGAGGCGGCGATCGCCGAGGCGCAGGCGGAGCGAGAGGAGGCGGCCAAGCAGCGGCGCGAGGCGGCGGAGGAGCGAGCCACCTTCCAGACGACGATCGCCGCCGTGGAGCGCCGCGCGCAAGCCTAGATGCTTCCTATCTCGGCCTATCTCGGCCAGATCTCCCCACACCTCCCCAAATCTCCCCAAATCTCGCCGTGCGCGACGGCGTGGCGCTCGAGAGGTCACGGACTCTTAGACCCTCGCACTCCCGTCTTGACTTGGCCACTCACAAGGCGCAGGCGCCAGAGCAGCGGCGGAGGAGAGCAGCCGCGCCGGCGCTGCTGCCAACCTCGCTCGGGGTCTGCTCACACCTTCAGCTGTGAACAGGAGAGCAGCCGCGCGAGGGCGGCGCTCGAGGAGGCGGTGGCGAAGGCGCGGAGCGAAGGGGTGGAGGAGGGCAGGGCGGCGATGCAGACGTGCCGCGACGCGACGGCGGAGGCCGAGGCGCGGGCGGCGCGCGCAGCGGCGGCGGCGGAGGCGCTGCAAGCTCGGGTGGCGGAGCTGGAGGCGGCGAGGGAGGAGCCGCAGGCGGCGAGGGAGGAGGAGGGCGGCGCGGTGGGCGGCGGCCCATCCCTGATTGGAGCTCACCCACTGCGCATGGGGGCGGCGGTGGCGGTCGCTCTCGGCGCGGCCGTGAAGAGTCCGCCCGGCTGCGCCTTCGCCGTCGACGCCCCTTCGCCGCCGTGCCGCGGCCGGGGAAGCAGCGCGCAAGCTTCGCCCGCCTCATTGGGCCGGGGAAGCAGCGCGCAAGCTTCGCCCGCCTCCCGCGGCCGCCCGCCGCCAGCGTCGCTGTCCGAGTCGGCGCAGCGGGGGGCGCGGGCGGTGCGCATGGCACGAGATCGGCGCAGATCAGGCGAGATGAGCCGAGCATAGGCTGCGCAGCTTGGGCGCGGGCTGGCGCACGAGCTGCCGTCTCCAGCCCGCTGCAGCTCGCGCTTCTCTCCCGCTCGCTGCGCCTCGCAGGCCTCTCCTGCCTGCGACGGCCAAAGGAGCGGTCAGCCGTCTCCAGCACGCAGAGCAGAGCCGCCACCGGCCCGCGTGAGTGTGAGGAGCGGGGGCTGCAGCGCGCAGCCGTCGCCAGCAGCTAAGTCGCCAGCAGCGGCTAAGTCGCCAGCGGCTAGGTCGCCAGCAGCTAAGTCGCCAGTAGCGGCTAAGTCCCCAGCGGCTAGGTCGCCAGCGGCGAAGTCGCCATCGGGTAGGTCGGCGGCGGTTCCGTCGCCAGCTGCGCCTTGCGAGCCGGGCGCGGCATCGTGGGACGAGCTTGACGACGAGGATTGGGAGGAGGGGCCTGCGGCGCCAGACTTGCCTGACCTGCTCCCGGACCCGCTGCCAGAGCGAGCCGCTTCGCCGCCATGGCCGGCTGCGACAGAGGAGGCGGAGGAGGCGGAGGAGGCGAGGGAGGAGGCGGAGGAGGCGAGGGAGGAGGCGGAGGAGGCGAGGGAGGAGGCGGAGGAGGCGAGGGAGGAGGCGGAGGAAGCGAGGGAGGAGGCGGAGGAGGCGGAGGAGGCGAGGGGGGAGGCGGAGGAGGCGAGGGAGGAGGAGAGGGAGGAGGCGAGGGAGGAGGCGCAGAGGGAGGTTTCCGGTGTCGCCGAGTCGCGTCGCTGTGCTCCCGCCGCTGCTACTGCTGCTGCACTTTCCGCCGCTACTGCTACTGCTGCTCCTGCTGCTGCCGCAGCGGCTGCGACCGGCACCGGCGCCGGCGCCGGTAAGCGAGCCTCTGGCCGGCGCAGCGTCGGCAGCCCCGTGGCGGGCCCAAACCCGAAGCGGAGGAGGCATCAAAAGGAGCGGTCTGCCGCCCCGCCGGCACGGGCCACGCGAGGCGGCGCGGCGGCCGCGGCCGCGGTGAGGACGACCACCGGCAGTGCGGCTTTCCCAACGCTGGAGGGTCGGGGGCTTGGGCTTGCCGCCGCGGCGGCGGCGCCCTCAGCCGCCGCGCTTGCGCCTGCTGCCGCCGCCGCGGCGCCCGCTGCTGCTGCCCCGGCGCGTGTTGCTGCTGCGGCGAGGCCCCTCGGACGACGCAGCGTTGTGCACCAGCCAAGCGCGGCCGCGGCGGCCGCCGCTACCGCGGCGGCGAGAGGCTTCGGAGCGGAGAGCGTTGGTGCAGGTGCTTCCACCTCTCTCTACGTGCTGCCGGCCCCGCCCAAGCCGAAAGGACGGGCCAGTCGTTCGCGGGGGCCTCCAGCTGCTGGGACATCGGCATCCGCTGCTGCTGGGACATCGGCATCTGCTGCTGCTGGGACATCGGCATCTGCTGCTGCTGGGACATCGGCATCCGCTGCTGCTGGGACATCGGCATCCGCTGCTGCTGGGACATCGGCATCTGCTGCTGCTGAGACGGCATCCGCTGCTTCCGATCCTCCCGCCAGCAGCAGCGGATGCGCCTCACCGGCGAGCCGCGGCGGTGCGGCGGCCTTGCCGTCCTCCAAGCGGCCGCGGCAGTGCAAGGCGGCGAGCCCCGCCTGCGCGTCTGCTGCCCCGCCATACCCGTGAACGGCGTCTCTTCACACCTCGGGCTGTGAATAGGCGAGCCCCGCCTCCGCGTCTGCAGCCGCCGCGTCGAGTCGCAGCGGCGGCGGCGGCGGCGGCGGAGGCGGAGGTGGAGGCGGTGGCGGCGGCGGAGGCGGAGGCGGTGGCTGCTAGCAGTTTGCTGCCTCCTCTTGATTGTTAACTCCACCCCGCGTGCATGTGAGCGGGTAGGCGGTGGGAGCAAGGCAGCTCGGCCGCGCTGCGGCAGTCCTCTCCCCTCATTCGTCGAGTCGCTCGAGGCGCGGCCTCTAGATGAGGGGGGAGGGGGGGAGGGGGGGCGGGAGGAGGGGCGGCAGCAAGCTCCCGGTGGCAAATACTCGCCATACAGTCCAAGATGGACGCTCGCGTCCCCGGGCGTGCTCTGGTGTGT